TGACAGTATCTGGTTTTCATAGAGTGATAAATTTCAAGATACTAAAACGCCTATTCAGTATAAACCTAGATTCTTTATGACTTAGTATAAGTCAATTTGACGCTGATCTATCCAATGTTCCGGTAATCTATCGCTCCTGAAATGTATCAAAGAGATGAGTGTGCATCTTTCATGACGAAGTATGCGCAAGCTCATCTTGCGTGTCGGCTGATTTCAATGGGGAGGCTGCCATTCCTACCAACTTTGAAGTCAGATCTGTGGGAACACGTGGTATTTTCTGATGGAGCTTGGAAAAAATATCCCCCTCGCACGTGCGTGTGTTCTCAGCAGGAACTGGTTTGGCCGACTGCAGTGCGAGTGACTGCTGTTGGTGTATGTGTTTAACCTGTCCTGAGATGCTAGGAAGGCCAGATCCAGATCTGGCAGTCATGGTACGTTTCAACTACGCAGCTCTCTGCAGAGCTAGCAGTACCGGAACGGCCAGTGAAGTATCGTAGGAGCACGGTGATCCACTGTGAAACATTAGGGAAGGTTGAAGAACAAGACGATCCGCTGCCATTCTGGATGAGCTGCAGAGGGTCGGATCCACATGCAGCTTAGTCCAAGCCCCAAGGGAGGAGTTGCAGTAGTCTAGCGTGAGATGACGAGAGCCGGACCAGTAAAGTTGCTGTTTTTCTGGTCAGGTGGGAGCGTTATCCTCTGATGTTGTAAAGCTGTATCTGCCAGGCAGCGGGTGTAGCAGCAATGTTTGCAGTGTAAAGGACAGTTTGTTATTCTAGGATCAAACCCAGATTCCTTGCAGGTCTGACTTGGGAAACAACAGAGGTGTCCGATGTGATTGTTAAGGTATAGAGTCGGACAATCTTTTCCCGGAAGGAAAAGCAGTCCAGCTCGTCAAGTTGAGCTTGAGTTGATGAACAGACATCCACTGAGAGAGTCGCTAGACAAAGCAGAGATGCGTGCGACGACCTGGGTCTCTGAGCGGGGAAAGGACAGAATCATTGGTGTCGTCAGCGTACTATTGTATGAAAAACGATGCGGGCCAATAACAAAACAACGCTGTGTGTGGAATGTCATCGTGCTGCGTCAAGAGTTCTGTGTTATCCATACCTCAGTGCCATTCCCACTTAAAGATAACCAGTCGTTTGCTCAATGTCCTTAACATGTATCTAAGGCAGTGGTCGCAACCTTTTCGATATGATAGTGCCCATTACAAAAAAAAAATGTTATCATCGCTGCCTGAGATTCATGAATTATCCAACGGGCGGGTGCGTGGGGAGGGAGCTCGACGCTCGTGAACGTCAACAGGAGGGTGGGGGACCTTGCTGCGGGGAAGCAGTCTGTGATGCCTGTCAGCGCAACCCACATCTAAATAATGGTTTAAACACAGAGTCATCCCCCGTTCCGTCGACTACGGTCTGAGCCGACAGAAAGGTTCAACACACAGGATGGCCAGTGCCACCCCCTTGTAGCATATATTTCGATGAACAGATCGCCCACTGGGCTTTCAACTAAATTCAAAATTAAATAATATAATAATATAGTAAGTTAAATAAATAAAGAGCCACAGCCACGCAACAACTGCGCATTTTACAGCTCCTTCGAGTACTGCAATTGTAAAGCTTTCCTCTGTGTGAAACGATCAGCACTCACACGGAGGAAGCGGCAAAAGTGCCTTGGATTTAAATGAGACGGGTGCGCGTGCGTGCATGCTCCTTCTGCAGGTAACGGGGAGGACACGCCCTGGCGGCGGTCTCTTTCAGATCCGAAAGAACATTTCAATATTTTGCACACTTATCCAGTCATCTTTACGTCCGCGTGCCAAATGTGGGAAGTACTCAGGTAGTTTCTTTTGGAAAAAGTTAGAAGTAGAATATCGTTTTACAGAAAATCGCAATAAAAATTTATTCAAATAAAAAGGTTAGAAAAGTATTATCACAAAATATAGTTAAAGTACCAAAAGTAAAGTAATCATTGGTCAGATTGGTCATTTCAGAACTAATATATAGATAGTTTTTATAATATGATCATTAAAGTGTCTCAAAGTCTGGTAAAGGTGCAGCTAGGTTGATGATATTTTATACTGCAGGGTAGCTTTGTATTACTCAGGTGGAACTAAAGTTCTGATTAAGACCCTGATTTATTTCACATCCATTCACCAGATCCTTGAAGCTAAAAGTATAGAATTACATGTCAGAAGTGTAGAGTACACCATTTACCTCGAATTGAATGGAGTCTGTAGAATACAATAGTAGCGAGAAAATGTAGACAGTGACTCAAGTAACAGCTGCCAAAATGTTAAGTAAGGGAACAAACTTGTACTGTACCCACTGCTTTATATTTGTAAACACAGATTAAACTAGTCTTTTACCAAAATAAAAACATTAGAGAAATGTACATTTGGCAGTGTTACTACAAGGGGTCTTGGTATCTTCATGCGTATTATCCTGCGACTGCTTAGCTTTTTCATGAGAATGTGATGGTGAAAACCGTATTCTACAGAATCAAATCTGAAACGAGGGCGTCTTGTCTGGGAAACACTCCTGCAACTTGGAATTTTCTGATCCCGAGTCCAAAGAAGTGATGTGGTTGAAGCCCGGGAATCGGCTCCCCCAGCTGCTCAAAATATTAGTGCTGTGTGTGATTTATAACTCCCCACACACGTCCAAAGCAGGAGTGAAACTCGGCTTAAAAGGGATCTTCATGTCATCTGTTGACCACCAGGCCCGCATTAATTACAAGCCTGCAGCACTGTAGAAAAGAACTGACAGCCAGAGAGAAGTGCAGCCTGGACACAAAGACTCTAACAGCATTCTGACCCCCCTGACAGCAGGCCTGATGGGATCTAGGCTCACCGTAAGAACTCGAGTCTGGGGAGGGTTCCACTCGCCTGCTGGGTCCCCAGCCATGTGTTTGAGGAGTAACTTAAACGATACCTGAGTTAAAAAAATAATAACTAATCATTTTAGTTATACGTTTGGCACAAAATCTAAGGGGAACAGCCCATCAATTGATTAAAATGTAACTTACATACAGTGGTCAAAAAGATTAGCAGCGCACCAATTTGTTACAATTTCTCCCACTTAAAAAAGATGAGAGGCCGTAATGTTGATTCCTAGTATACCTCAACTATGAGAACAAAATGAGAAAAAAAAAATCCAGAAATCACATTTCTGATTTTTTTCTTTAAAACCTTTTGCAAATTATGGTGGGAAAATAAGTTACTTGGTCAATAACAAAATTCCATCCAATACTGGTTATATACCCTTGTGGCAATGACAGAGCAAACGTTTTCTTGTAAGTCTTTCACCAAGTTTTCCCACCACTGTTCGCTGTTGTATTCTTGCCCATTCCTCCATGCAGATCTCCTCTAGAGCATGTGTTTTGGGGCTCGTCGCTGTGCAACACGACTTTCAAACTCCCTCCAAAATTTCTATGATGAAATCTGCAGACGGCTAAGCCCTCCTCTGAGGACCTGAATGCTTCTTACCCAACCACCTTCGTTCCGAGCACGTTCATCTCAATGCCCCTTGCTGTTGAAAGGGTTGGTCACCAAAATCTCACATGCAGGCCATTCATTCTCCTTACACATATCCAGGTTCC